TGGGCGGGGTGGGACGGGGTAGTTAGAGCGCCCAATATGGCCCAAGATGGCTCAAAGAGGGCCTAAGAAACGCTTTGCCTTCTCAAGATGGCTCCAAGATATCTCCGAAAAACGTTTTCCAAGGCGGTTGTTACACTACATGCTTGTACACTGCCCTGATCAAGGCAACTCGTCTGGCGATCTGTTTCTGGAAGGACTGGGGGAGATACTTTTTCGGTCGTGTCTGCTAGCGAAGGCGCTAGCGGAGTCAGAAGCGCTACGGATCACGACAGCGGCCCTTGGCAGACAGCACCAGGATGCAAGAGTACATTGAGCTCCCGCGTGATGCCTCGTGCCCGTAGTCTCTGCTACTCCCCGCATGGATCCAGGGTTTTTACCTAAGAGCGAAGACTGATAGGTTTCTAGTAGTGTCAAAAGAGAGCATGTTGACTCCCCAGGGGGGTCTGGGCGGGTGCCGGGGAGAACCCGCGGAAGTCGTTTTAAGCAAACAGTTACACACTTCGTGGTCTTCGAGGTCCCAGAACTCCATTCCTGGGCATGATTTTGAATGCCCGGAGCCAACTGTAGGCCACTTCGTGGTCTTCGAATTCCCAGAACTCCATTCCCGGGCCACATTCTGAATGCCCGGAGGCAACTGTAGGCCACTTCGTGGTCTTCGAGTTCCCAGCAATCCATTCCCGGGCCACATTTTGAATGCCCGGAGCCAACTGTAGGCCACTTCGTGCTCTTCGAGTTCCCAGAAGTCCACTCCTGAGCATGACTTTGAATGCCAGGAGCCAACTGTAGGCCACTTCGTGGTCTTCGAGTTCCCAGAACTCCATTCCTGGGCATGATTTTGAATGCCCAGAGCCAAAGGCCACTTCGTGATCTTCGAGTTCCCAGAACGCCATTCCTGGGCATGATTTTGAATGCCCGGAGCCAACTGCAGGCCAAATCGTGTTCTTCGAGTTCCCAGAACTCCATTCCTGGGCCACATTTTGAACGCTGAGGCAGGCTGAGGCTGAGGCTGAGGCAGGCTGAGGCTGAGGCTGAAGCAGGCTGAGGCTGAGGCTGAGGCTGAGGCTGAGGCTGAGGCTGAAGCAGGCTGATGGTGAGGCAGGTTCAGGCTGAGGCTCAGGCTGATGCAGGCTGAGGCTGAGGCCGAGGCTGAAGGCAGACTGAGGCTGAGGCTGAGGCAGGCTGAGGCTGAGGCTGAGGCAGGCTGAGGCTGAGGCTGATGCAGGCTGATGCTGAGGCAGGCTGAGGCTGAGGCTGAGGCTGAGGCAGGCTGAGGCTGAGGCAGGCTGAGGCTGAGGCCGAGACTGAAGGCAGACTGAGGCTGAGACTGAAGCAGGCTGAGGCTGAGGCTGAGGCAGGCTGAGGCTGAGGCTGAGGCAGGCTGAGCTGAGGCAGGCTGAGGCTGAGGCTGAGGCTGAGCAGGCTGAGGCTGAGGCAGGCTGAGGCTGAGGCCGAGGCTGAAGGCAGACTGAGGCTGAAGCAGGCTGAGGCTGAGGCTGAGGCAGGCTGAGGCTGAGGCTGAGGCAGGCTGATGCTGAGGCAGGCTGAGGCTGAGGCTGAGGCTGAGGCAGGCTGAGGCTGAGGCAGGCTGAGGCTGAGGCCGAGGCTGAAGGCAGACTGAGGCTGAGGCTGAAGCAGGCTGAGGCTGAGGCTGAGGCAGGCTGAGGCTGAGGCTGAGGCAGGCTGATGCTGAGGCTGAGGCTGAGGCTGAGGCTGATGCAGGCTGAGGCTGAGGCAGGCTGAGGCTGAGGCCGAGGCCGAAGGCAGGCTGAGGCTGAGGCTGAAGCAGGCTGAGGCTGAGGCTGAGGCAGGCTGAGGCTGAGGCTGAGGCTGAGGCTGAGGCAGGCTGAGGCTGAGGCAGGCTGAGGCTGAGGCTGCGACTGCGACTGCCGTTGCCGCTGCGACTGTCATCGCGAATGCGACTGCGACTGCGAGAATATCAGAATTCTTCAACTGGATTCTCATCTGAATCTTAAGGGGAATGCTTCCAGATATGCTCCTACACATCGCTGTTAGGTTGCTTTGCCAGGATAATTTTTGTTTTGCTCCAGCTGGCCCACAAGTGGCGCCAACGCCGCGCCTCCGATCACGCCCGCCGCCGCTGGACCGCCGGGCAGGGGGAATTGGGGGAGGAGGCGGAAGGCGCCGGCCGGCCTCACCCAGATACAGGCTGCCACCGACATGATTCGGCCAATCTTTCATCGCACTCTTTGTCCTGGCCTTCCACTCGACGAGGATGTCCTGCAGGTGCACGGCCGCCGCGTTTCCCAGAACGCATTGTGCGGCGAGCTTGAGCTCACTCCACTGCCCTGCTGCATGCTTACTGCTGTCATTACGGATCGTCTGCTCGCCCAGATCGAGAGCTCGCTGTAGCCGCCGCACATTCCTCTGCGACGGCGCAGAATGGCACATCAAAATGAGGAGCTGCGCTCGGTCGACTACTGCTTTGAAGTTGTCGTTCAGCGCGGGCTCGCCCACCTCGTCCAAGATCTGAGCAGCTTGCAGAACGCGACCGCACAACATGTGAGCTTTCGCCATAGCAACCTAAGCGATGATATCTGGCTCAACCCCGTGACGATGCACCAACCACTGCCACGTGGCGTCGGCCCGCTCCCAGTTTCTCCTCTCGGCGGCCATATTAATCATGGAACTCAGGAAATCTTGGGATTCGAACCAGGTCTTCCCCGCTGCCGCAGCCCTCTCGACCATATCATCAACTTCGTCGTGGAGCTGATGTGATTCAAGCAGCCTCGCATATGTCAAGTATTTCAAACCATCCATCTCAAATGGCTCTGCCAAAGCCCAATGCCATAGATCCTTTGCCCACGAGAGGCCTCGGGGATCATTCGAGGCTATACACACTTGCAGGGCAGCGCCCAAACCAGCGTTGAAATTATCAACGTGTTGAGCGGGCTCGCCTGAACTCCAAACCTCTTGGCCCAGTCTTACAAGCTCGCGCTGCCTCTCAGGAACGAGCCCGAATTTGTCGCCATGGGCGCTGCGAGCCAAAGCTGTCAGGCAGATATTCCTCCCAACCGTGTCGAACCGGCCGCCCAACACCTTCTTCCTTATTTCCAAGAGCTCGATCAGAGTCGACCACCATCTTTTGTACCCGCACGCCTGCATCGCCGAGCTAAATACGCTCGACTCGGCAAAACCCTTCGAACAAGCTTCTGTGACGCATCGGAGGAGTTGTGCTGCTGAACGTGAGGTTTTGATATTGTGGCGTATTGGCGAGGCTGCGTCGCTCCGAACGTGCGGAGCAGAATCCGTTGGATTCGCTGGCATTAACAACATGGGGTGGATCTGGCCTGACCTCCCTGCAGATGCCCTGTGGTATTGGTTTGGCTTGTTTAGAGCCCTCTGGCGCATCGCCCTCGGAACCTGGTGAGGCTTGGAGTGGCTCCGCACGGCAATGATGGCGATCGCTCCCAGGAGCGCAGTCGTGTCAGCAGGCGCGCGCCCGCCAATCCCTGGCCGCCCCGCCAGCGACGCAGCGGCAGCCGCCGCAGGGACACCAGGGCGGCCTGCGAGCGGGCACTGCCAGCGACCAGAGGAGGGCGGAGCAGCCGCTCGCACGGCCATCGCTCGCGCAGCGGGCCGGCCGCCTGGATCACCAGCCGCTTCGCCGCCCGCTGGCAGCAGGCTTCTGGCCAGGCTTGAGCCAAAAGCTACGGATTGGGGGAGATACTTTTTTGGTCGCGGCCGCGAGCGAAGAGCGCAGGCGGCGAGAGAAGTTGTCCGGGCCGACGGGCAAACCTAATTAGCTACAACACGCGAAGCGTCAAAAATTTCCTCTTTAACAAATTGAGCTTGAGACAATACATGCACTGTCATTCACATTCGCGATGGGATCAAAGGTTTCCGATTCGCTTGGATACTACTCACAAAACTGCTGCCAACACTTGTAGTGGTTGGCCTGAACACTTGGGTACGAACAAATATTTGACCCAGGCTAGATGAATAGTTTTCACGAGATCCAACCGGAGCCCATGGACAGCTGCACATTCAAATATTACATGCCTATCTGACTCTGGTACGTACCACTCACTGCGCTCTTGTGGAACTGCTGAGAACCTAGTTGCCCACCTCGCTTGCTACGCGCCGAGGCGCTATCGTCAGGGAGTCGTCCACAAAACTTCTCCACTGACGCACAAACGACTGTCTTGCATGATGATCAACCCCGACTTTCTGGCCCAATGCCGCCGAGCTGGGGGCATTGAAATTATTGCCAGTGACGCTGATGGTGAGAGGAAGAAGAAGATCGCCCGACGATCCGACAATGTGTTCCACGAGAGATCTGTGGAACGACACGGATATGGAAAGCAACGGGCATGACCCACAATGCGATGCCCTGCTTCGAAATCACGAGTACCACAGCGACTCCAGCCACAACTTATTGCATCTGCACGTTCCTGCCTTGGGACCAGTTTCCGTGATCCTTCGCCTATCCCCAAGATCCCACCCCTCATGACACGTGAGGACCACTACATGAAACACTACACCCCAGGAAAGCATGAAGCACTACACCATCCTTCGCCTATCCCCAAGACCTCCCCACCCCAGGAAAGCATGAAGCACTACATCTCGCATCTGTCTGGGTTCAAGGTAATCATCTGGTCCACATTGCTCAGCAGAGCGGTTTTGCCAACTGGCAAGCCAGAGCGATCTTCTGTGCGTTTGACGCGCACCGTGCTGGATTGTATATTACAAGTAATTACCATGCGATATGCTGCGAAGGTCACTGCACTCTCTTTCGCCCTTCCTACCCTCCTTCACTCCATAACCCCTCCGACTCGTGCAGCCCCTGTCGTTTCAGTGTGCTTCCCTCGCACCCCCCCTACCTCTTCCCCCCTCTGCTCTCCTCGGCGACGACGACGACGACCACGACGACGACGACGACCACCACGACGACGACGACGACGACGACGACGACGACGATGCCGATGCCGATGGCGGCGGCGGCGGCGCGACGGCGGCGGCCGCAGATTTCGACGAGTGGCCTCCCCGTCCGGAGAAGATGCCGCTGAGGCATGCGTGGCAATCGCTTGGGGACGCCTCGGTCTGGACCACCTGCCCCCGCCATGGAGCGCCCCAGCCTGGGACGACGCCATCGCCGCCGCCGCCGCCGCCGTCATCGTCGACGTCGTCGTCGTCGTCGTCGCCTCGGCCGCCGTCGGCGCCGCTCTCGGCACAAAGAACGCGGCAGCTCCGTCGGCGCGCAGCCAACGAGCGCGAAGAGAGGGGGCGGCGCCGGATCGGCGGTGGCGGCTCGTCGCTGAGTCCCAGAGTTCTTTCCCGAAAGAGAGACTCACCGCGCATGTCTAAAGAGGCCCAGGGAGACCCAGGATCATCCACACGCTTCGTGTTTATTGGATTCCCTTTCCCCCCCATTCCTTGTATTGTTCTTACTTAGAATGGCAGCAAAGGCTTGTTCCTCCCATATCACTGGGGTCATAATGGTATTTTCACCCGCGTCCCGCCCGCGTCTCCCTTCACCTCCCCCTTTCCCCACTTTCCGTCTCATATGCATTCGCGCGCGAATCAAACACAAACACACGCGCAGCAGCCACGACCGCACTTTCAACCCAGCGGCACACGAAGGACCTCAGGCGCGGTCGGCAGGTGGAGGTGCCAATTGCGAACAAACTTACTCGAACGTGCCATGATGAAAAAGTCCAGTCACGGCAGTGCATATTGATGGTAAGCAGAACACAAGGGGCTGGAAAGCCAAAAGTGCAACGGCCAACGAAACGAGGAACAAATCGACCCGAATAAACTGAAGCGCCAACAGCAGCCTGGTGCGAATTAGCCGCTGAATCCTCGGAGGGATGTCAAGACAAAGAGCACAAAAGACAGCAACCTGTAAAGTTGCCTATCCAACCGAAGAACAAGTATCACAGATGAAGCTACGACCAAGCGGCTATGATGGGAAGGATGCTAACCTACAAACCAACGACGCCCGATGCATAACCAAAACGGGTGAAGTGATGGACGGGCGGCGACGGTGCAGCACGCGCCACCACAACAAGCCAATGCCGGTGACGCGATCAGGCTGGCCGAGATCAGGCTACAATAGAGGCGCCGACCAAAATAATCGGTAGGGCACCGCTCGAGCAGCATAAGTAGAGAGGCGAGAACCCTGTACGCACCGACGCCTGGGTCGCCACCAAGTCGACCAAGGACGTCTCAGACAAGACGGGGAAGGCGCCGCGAGGCTCGCAAAAGGCACACATGAAGAGCCTACGCCGAGCCTCAAGGAAAGCATCAAATGCATAACAGACCTCGGCGGTGGCAAACGCAAGACCACCCCGGCACGCCCACCCACACGGTGCCAGGAACCCCGACCAAGCGCGAGTAACCCGAGGAACCCTGAAGACGCGGCGCCAGGAAGGAGAGCTCCAGGCGCCAACTCGGAACTCAAGGCGACAGAGCGACGCGCCCAGAGCACATGACCTGTGAATAAGAGTCCACAGCAGCCAGCGCATCGACGCGTGACACGAGCGACTGGTAGGCATGTGACAAGCAAACAGCGACAAATCAGTGTTTGTCCGCTGCATGACCGCCCGAACCAGGACACTGCACCGCGGCGCACCACACGCGCTGCGAGGAAATCGCGCAGCAACCTCACGCCTTTCAACCATGGGCCCAGCGCGTCGCCGCAGCACCGCGCGCGGCGAGCTGTCCAAGCCATCCCGCTCTGGCACCCCAGCGGCTTGACACGGGCCAGGAGATGTTCCTTGAAGGCAACCGCCAAGCCAGCCAAGTCAAGGCCCTCGTTTGCTTCGGCCCGCCCAATCAGTCCCGCCGAGGCAGGGGGGGCGCAAGTGCCGGCGGGTTGCCGCCCGCACGTTGGCAGGGAGCACAGGATGTCGATCCTGACCTGTCGTGGGACAATTTCTGGGCGAACTCGCCCCATCAATTTTCTCCTGTAGTCCCAAGTGAACTGACCCCAGCGTTCGCGAGTCCACGGGGGGTCGGCCCACGCCTCCTTGACCATCAGCCAGAGGACGCCGCGCGCTGGCTGGGCGAGGCGAGCACCGTCCCGCGACAAGGCCTCCGCAGCGGTTGCGCGGGTCACGATCGGCGGGGGGCTGGTGGGAGGCGCGCGCCCGTCGCGTCGCCGCCCACCGCGACGGCTGCCAGTCCGCCGTCCAGGACGTAGCCAGCAAGACAGCCGGCGCGAAAAGACTCCGGACCTCTGGTCGCGCACCTCCGACCTCACTGGCCGAGCGAGCTTGCAGGAGAGCCCGCGCCTATCGGGGGGATCGACGGCGTCGCCCTCGCTGACCGCCCACCGGGGACGTTGGATCAGTTCACTCGCGGGGCCTTCTCCGCCCTCGCGCGACCGCCCGCTGCCGCGACGCCCGACCAGGCCCGCGCCGTCGCGGCCAGGCGACGCGGGCCGCAGCGGCGCAAAGCGGCCTTCAGCAACGAGGCGGCGCATAGACACCTACTGGAAACCAAAATCGAGCCCATGTGCTCGACGCTGGGGCGAGGTGCGGCACGCGTGCAAGGCACGCCACACACACCAGGCACCCCTGGGGCCCGAGCGTACCAGGCACGCCTGGTGGGCCAGATGCGCCGCGCGCCTCCGCGTGCGCCAGGTGCGCCACACACTCCAGCCGCGCCAGGTGCGCCACGTTCGGGACACGCGCAGAGCGCGCCAGGTGCGCCTGCGCACGTGACAGCACACATCGGGAAGCACGTCGGCACCCACCGTCCACGTCGCGGGCCTGCGCGCAGCAGGCCATGCGCCACCACTTGGCAGCGATCGCAGGGTGGCCACGCCGCCATCCAGATAAATCCGCGAGGTGCACTTCGCATTGTTTTTCTCAGGGATGGTAGCCCTGCGCGCAGCAGGCAACACGCTGACACCCCTGCCGGCCCTGTCGAAAACAAAAAAAATGCTTGCGGGCATCACGAACACGACCCCAGACTTTGCCCCTGTGTACTTTGTTTTGCTTTTTGACAAAGTTGGTGGGAACCGGGGCCCTCATGGGGTCCTCATTGTTCCCGGTTGGCTCCTGGTCGCCTGGGGGAGGGGGCGTATACTGACTGGGGTCAGTTATAGACCCCTCCCCCGAGCAAGGGAGGGAGGGGTTTTGGCAGAGAAAACAAAACTCATTAAACCACCAACGCCCTCAAGGGGTAGTGAGATTCCCTACGCGCGCACATACGCATGTACTTATGATGACCGAAATCGGCCCGCGGCGTCCCGTGGTTGGATAGCGAGATCACTAGCGCGAGCAATAGCGCGATCGATGACGAGCAGCGCGATCCATGGCGAGACCGATCGATAAAGAGATCGGCCAGGACGTCGGGAACACGGAAACCCAGGAACCCTGCCGCCCACCGCAATCGGCCCCGAACCAGCCACCAGGAACCGGGGAACCCGGAACCGGGAACCCAGGATACCGGCCCCAACGAAAGCGGCAGGGAACTTTCGCCGAATCTTTCGACCTCCGCGAGGCCCCCTTCAACGCAAGCACCGATTGGGGAGCCATCGGAACTGTAGACGCCTGGGCCCAAGCCGGCTCACAGACACCAGGCGCCTCCTTCGCGCATGCGCCGCCCACGGCGCCCCGACGAGGGCTGGGCGGGGGACCCCCCGCAGCGCACCTCTCCTGGGCGAGCGCCGCTTCCTCCGGGCGCGCAGGCCCACGGAGAAGGCTCGCGCCAAGACGGCGGGAGGCGCCGCTGCGTGCCCGGGAGGAGCGCCCCCCCGCGGGGAGGTGCGCCCGCCCAGCCGCCGCGCCAAAGCGCACGGTGGACGCAGCGTCCGTCGTCGTGGGCTCCTTCGACGCAGGGCCGCAGGGTTGGCGCGGCCGGCCTGCCCGGCGCCCCGTCGGAGGGGCCCGCCCGCCCAGAGGGCCCGCCCGCCGGGCGCGGCTGCCCGCCCGGGAGGCTCTGCGTCGGAGGGGTGGCGACAGAGCATGTGGCGGTTCCCGTCGTCGTCGTCTTCCGGGGGAGGCAGTTGGATCGCAAGGAAGCGGGGGAGGAAGAGGAAGAGAAGGAAGCGGACGACGGCGAGGACGAAGACGTCGAAGGAGCTGGAAGAGGAAGAGGGGGGATGGGAAGAGAGGAAGAGGAAGAGGAGCACGATGAGGAGAGCAAGGCCTCGCCACGGCTGTGCCGATACACCCCTCTGCGGCGCCAGGAGTAATAGAAGTAGCAGTCGTCATAATAGTCGTAAAGGTTCTGGTAGTTGCAGCTGTAAGCGTAATCACGGTGCCAATGAGGATAATGATCATTGTGATAGGTGTCAAAGGCACCGGCACTCGTAGTCGTCGTAGTAGCAGTCGTTCTATCGTTAGTAGTGTCGGTGGTTAGAAAATGGAAGTTGTAGAAGTAGCAGTGGCACTGCAAACATGATACTAGCAGTAATAGGAATAGAGATGATGGTGGTCGTGGTATTGATGATTGTGGTAGTAGTAGTAGTAGTAGTAGTAGTAGTAGTAGTAGTAGTAGTAGTAGTAGTAGTAGTAGTAGTAGTAGTAGTAGTAGTAGTAGTAGTAGTAGTAGTAGTAGTAGTAGTAGTAGTAGTAGTAGTAGTAGTAGTAGTAGTAGTAGTAGTAGTAGTAGTAGTAGTAGTAGTAGTAGTAGTAGTAGTAGTAGTAGTAGTAGTAGTAGTCGTAGTAGTAGTAGTAGTAGTAGTAGTAGTAGTAGTAGTAGTAGTAGTAGTAGTAGTAGTAGTGGTAGTGGTAGTGGTACTGGTAGTGGTAGTGGTAGTAGTAGTAGTAGTAGTAGTAGTAGTAGTAGTAGTAGTAGTAGTCGTAGTAGTACTAGTAGTCGTCACAGTGATATGAATGGGCATAGTGTTGGTTGTTGTTGTCGTTTGATTCGTAGTAGTAGTAGTAGTTGTTGTTGTAAAGGTAGTAGTAGTAGTAATAGTAGTAGTAGTAGTACTGGTAGTAGTAGTAGTAGAAGTAGTAGTAGTTGTTGTAGTAGGAGTGGTAGTAGTAGTAGTAGTACTAGGACCAGTAGTAGTAGAAGTGATGGTGTTAGTGATACTAGTAGTAGTAGTAGTGGTAGTAGTAGTAGTAGTAGTAGTAGTCGTAGTAGTCGTAGTA